GGAGACAGTCAGTAGGGGCAGTGTCAAGGAAGAACTTCAGATTTATGCAATAGCTGAAAGCATTAAAAAGATTTTTCTCTGAAGTACTTACAGGACTTGATGCGCCGAGCCCCAGCACACCGCCATCATGTCAGGCACTGTGTCCATTCTCCAGCAATTTGCCAATGGCTTGAAGAGTCGCAGCGAAGAGACAAGGGCAAAAGCTGCCAAGGACTTGCAACACTATGTCACCATGGAGCTCCGCGAAGTGAGTCCTGCAAATGAGAACGTTTATCACATGGGTGTAATGCATTGGCTGGGTACTTTGGGGGTGGAGATTTTGGAATATGGAAACTGTCTTAGAGAGGAGGTCCAGCAAAGACTGGAGCTTACCTTTGCCCTGGCATGTGGGCAGGGTGCCTGAGTTGGGGACTCCGGTGATGGCCAAGCACTAGAATAAATACAACCTGATAGGTCTAGGGCACAAAGAAGAGCTATACCATTTTGTGTTTGTAATGTATGGTTAACTTAATTTCTTTGTGTTTAAGAGACCTGGAAAGCGTTGTCTTTTTGGGGGTGTCTGTGGTCGTGGAGAATGATGAAAGTTGATTTGAACTTTTTCATTTTGCAGATGAGTCAAGAAGAATCTACCAAATTTTATGATCAGCTGAACCATCACATATTTGAGCTGGTCTCTAGCTCTGATGCAAATGAAAGGAAGGGTGGCATTCTGGCTATAGGTGAGTGAAAGTGCTTAATGCCTTTGGTGAGTTTTCTCTTCACGCAACTACTCTTTAGGGACAGCTTTTCAAAAGGAATGAACTTTTTTGATCGTGGCCTTATGTTTGACCACTTAGTACGCTGGGTGCGTGCTAGTCACTGGGTTCTCTTGAAAATCTGTCCAAGAGCGTCAGCATGGGAGCTGCTGAGTGCTGAGAGTGGCTGAAAACCTGGTGCTCCATGGGCGCTGAGCTCTTCTGGGAGCTGAGCATCGAATATGAGCGCCGAGCGCTTGAAAATTCTGATCTTGAGCTCGTCTGAAAACAGAGTTTGTGCTGTCCGCTTATGTGTGTCATGGTGGGCTGACTTTCCGAGCTCCGTTCTGCCTGAGGACATTGATTCCTGTTATTTAAATTCACTTGGCTCAATGACAGCAGCTTCCATCCCTGGGAGGGGCTCACGTAGCTTTTGCTTTTATTCTCATCAGCTGCTCTATCAGTTGCTCTGGTTGTGCTTTCACTGTGATATGGCAGAACTGCCTGCATTGCGACTCCTAGGGAAATCAGCTTGCGTAGCCCGTATTGTAGCATTTGCTTTTTTTAATAGCCAAATAGGAGTTGCCTATGGGTTAGGCTCGCAGACGTAATCGTCCGACCCCAACATATTTGAAGACAGCGGAAGTCCCTTAGCTAGAGAAATCTTTGTTGACAACATCTGATTTTAAGCTGACAGTATCACTTTAAAATTGTTTCTGTGAATTTAGTGCTGTTGAAAGGTGCCGGCTTGACAACCCTGGACACTGACGGCCTCTTTATCTACAGAGCAGGTACAACCCAGGCATCGGCAGTGCAAGCTTCTGCCACACTGCCCCCTGCCAACGTGCCTCCACCCTGGCCTGGAGAGACCGTCTCTAGGGGCGAGGGGGAGAGCGCTTTCCTTGGTCCATTCAGTCTTTGACCTCTCTACTGAGACGGACCAGCTGTAGTAGTTGCATGTGGATGCCTTTCTATTGGGAATGGGTCTGTGATCCCAGGGTGGATGTATTTTTTCTTTTTAAACTAAAAATGGGGAAAATCTATGAAGCTACTGATGCATTTTCCTGTCCACTTAACAAGTTCAGGCTCGGAAGAATGGTGACCCTTTCCTATTGCTTGATTTTTTTTCTGTGGATTTGCAGTTTAGGAAGAGTTAATGGGAATCTTTAAGGAATGGACAGGGAATACTAACTCTCATCCAGGGATTACCTACTGTCTGCCTCACTGACTCTTAGGTGCAACCTACAGCCCTGCTTCCTTTCTCCACAGCAAGTCTCATCGGTGTTGAAGGAGGTAACGCCACCCGTATTGGCAGGTTCGCCAACTACCTGCGGAACCTCTTGCCGTCCAATGACCCTGTTGTCATGGAGATGGCCTCCAAGGCTATTGGGAGGCTCGCGATGGCCGGTGACACCTTCACCGCCGAGTACGTGGAGTTTGAGGTGAAACGAGCTCTGGAGTGGCTGGGAGCTGACAGGAATGAAGGTCGAAGACATGCAGCTGTAAGTGGTCCTTTTTATTTTGTCCTGGAAGGGGGGGGTTAGGCTTGAGTCACCAGTGGTAGATGTGCCCAGAAAGCTGGGGAAGAGCTCTAGTTGAGAAGCAATGGCTGCCAGTCCATGCCTGAGGATGTGTGACGCTCCCATAGCAGATATATTGATTCTTCATCGTTTCTACCATAGTAATGCTCGGTGACTAAACAAGATTGAGACACCATTGTGCTACATACTATAAAAGGAGCTGGAAACAGCTCTGGTTCTCAGATATTAGCACTCTAAGTAAGTGATGCTATGGACTAGGAATTATGATGCCTGTCTGGAGGTGCTCATCCTCACAGACTACTGTTGTTCCTTTTCCTGTCTCCAGGTTCTTGTCCTGCGTGAGCTGGCAATCAGCGTGCCTACCTTCTTCTTCCAACAAGTGCAGCCGTTCTTTGACAATATTTTTGTGGCTGTGTGGGATCCCAAACAGGCCATCCGAGAGGGAGCTGTTTCTGCCTTAAGAGCCTGCCTTATCCTCACTACTCAGCGTGAGCCTAAAGAGATGCAGAAGCCCCAGTGGTACAGAGTAAGAAAATAATTTAGTTTTGAAACAGCTGCTTTATAGTGCAATGCAGATGATCAAGCGCCAGTACCAGAAGAGCTGTCCAAGCTAAGAAACTGCTTCGCTTTTGTCAGCATGTCTCTGCTTTGTTCGTAGAAAACCGCCTCCCCTCGATCAGGATTGAAAACATGGTGGCGTCCAAGCAAAGTAGTTCCTTAAGACCACTATAAAAGCAAGCAAGAGCCTTAATTCCATCAGGAATCTATTGCACCGTCTCTAACTCACTTTCAGCTGTTGAGCCTGATTGCGTTTTGCAGCCAAACAGTTTTCTATCTAGTGCCATCTTTTACTAGTAGATGGTTTTATTAGTGTAGATGAAACATACAGAGAAATAAATAAGGATTCTTTTGTCTGAACCTTAGCTTGCTGCCATGTCACAGGAATTCAAGCTCCTTAATATTAAATAAGGTTTGGAAGCGCAGTGAAACGTTGTCAACTTGGATTTCTCACTGTCAAGTATGTGATGTAGCTATTGACAGAGTTTGTACCTTGGGATGGCTGACTGGCTTTTTGATCAGGGCTGTTGAAAGCACTCTGCAGCGGAGTGAAACTCAGGTTCTTGGTGTTATGCTCTGCTATTAACTCAGTTGAGGTTTGTGGCTACTCTTGAAAATTACAGCCTGTCAGTAACTCTTGACTGGCTGTGCTACTTACTCTGTTTCCACAGGCTTTGCTTCTATTATAACGATTGTGATCTTCATTTTCCCCCTTCCGCTCCCAGCATACGTATGAAGAGGCTGAGAAGGGTTTTGATGAGACTTTGGCCAAGGAGAAAGGGATGAACCGTGATGACCGAATCCATGGTGCCTTACTGATCCTCAATGAGCTGGTGAGGATCAGCAGTATGGAGGGAGAGGTAAGCAAAACAGGATGGTGGTTTTGGCTGCTGGCTGCCAGATTAATTTGTCAGTGTGTAGTACCTCAGTGATCTGTGGAAATAATCTGCTAGGTTTGAAGGGGGGTTGTTGGGCTGAAGTGTCATCTGAACATGGTCCTGGAGCTTTTGATTATTACAAATTGAAGGGTGGAAGAGAAATAACAGCAGCAAGTTTGGGCTGAGTAGGCTTTCAGAGCGGATGGGGAGTGCTGTTAACTAGATTAATCACCGTGAAAAAGAATTATGTAGGATGCGATCCCTTTCTCTGTTGCACATTAGATACCTAAATATTTTTGCTGGGTTATGGCTTAGGCTTAGTTGATGTTTTACAGCTATTTGGATGTCATTGATCCTGGATGCTGTTTAGAAGGTTTGGGTTGCTCTGGGGGTTAGCCATCTTCTATTCGGCTGCCTTTTTTGAAACGCGCTTTTCTTTTGTGTCCAGCGTCTTAGAGAGGAGATGGAGGAGATCACTCAGCAGCAGCTTGTGCATGACAAGTACTGCAAAGACCTGATGGGCTTCAGCACCAAACCTCGCCACATCACGCCCTTCACTAGCTTCCAGTCTCTTCAGCCCTCTCAGTCAAATGCCTTGGCTGGTCTTCTGGGATACAGTGCCCACCAAGGAATCATGGGTTTTGCAGCCTCACCTGTCCCAGCAAAGTCTACACTGGTAGAAAGTCGATGTTGCAGAGATCTAATGGAAGAAAAGTTCGATCAAGTAAGTGTTTGTTCTTGAACTTGTCTGTCAACATACTCAACACCCTCCGTTTCCTTATTTAGGAGGTGATGCTACCTAGTATTGAACTGGGGCATCATAGCTTGTTGTACATATCCTGACTTTGTCACTGTCTCTTTTGGAACAAGTGGCTTATTTTCTTTGGAAACAGTCTTAATTATCTATCTTCCTAATGGTCTCTGAAGCCAAATGTCAGTACAATGCCTTAAGGTGCCCCAGTATAAAGTATTCATGCATTGCTGACAGCAGCCAACCTTCAAAGCCCAATCCATCTACTTTCAGGTGTGCCAGTGGGTTCTCAAGTGTAGAACCAGCAAAAATTCTTTGATCCAGATGACAGTTCTCAATCTGCTACCACGGCTGGCTGCTTTCCGTCCTTCAGCCTTCACAGGTGAGGAGACAGATGCTTGGATATTAGAAGCTTTGCTGAAATTGGGCTGGAAGTTATCCAGCTCTCTTGGGTCTCGATGAGCTCGATGAGCAGTAGAAACATGGTGCTTGTGCTTGGAAGCTGAGCAGAATCCTCCTCGCAAGTGGTGGGAGGACTCTTTCTTTTTTTTTTTTTTTTTTTTTGAATAAATGTGACTTGATATCTGATGCCAAAATGTTGCTCTGGTGAAGATAATGGATTTGAAAACCACTGCCTCAAATCTGTGATTGATACGCTAAGAAGCGGAACCTCATTTTTGTTTTTTTTCTCAGCATGTCAAGGTTAAGATTGGACTCTGCCCTCTTGCTCTCACTCAATGTAGCCCTAGTATTGTTAGCAATGTCATCATCCTGTTTCTCTATTTGAACCTACTGGGAGATCTCAAGGGAAAAAGGGAAATCCCTTCTGACTTTTCAGCAACTGAATTGATTGTACCAAGCAAACTTAGGAGAATATCTGAGCTGGGGGCGAGTCACCAAGCTGCTCTAAGTGGGTTGCAACAAACTGTGTTGTTGTTCCAAATTTCCACCCAGTCACTGTGATAACAAGTAAAATCGGATATTATCTGTGTGTGGAGTCTGCAGGAGGTGTCTTGGATCTCCTGTTGCCATGTTATCTTGTTACTCTTTCATTCAATTGAAACTTACTTTAAAAAAGAAAGTCTTCTGGGATTTGAAAAATCTATCACGCAGTGATGTTTGTTTGCCACTGCTCACGTCAGTAAATTGAATACAGACAATATCTGTTCCCTAGCTTTATTCTTGTAAAGGCTTAGTTGCAGATGAGATGCATCTGCTAGAAGTGTGTTTTGCTTCAGTTGCAGCTGCTTCCTAAATCAGTAATGCTCCAAGGGTACTTTAAGCGTCCCCAGTTACGAAATATATCAGCATGAATAAGAGTGATGAGCGTCCTGGCTTTTTGGGATGTGAAGGTGGATGGCAATGAGCTGAGCCTGTATTGCCTTAATCTATGCTTGCTTATCTTTACTGACCCGTAAAGTTGTTTCTCAGTAAGTGCTGCATTCTGCAGCTGTTCTCAGGTTGTCTAGGTTTCTGAACTGAAACTTTTATAAACCTAAAGGAACTCCAATATTTGTCTTGTTCTCTCTTGTGGGCAGCTGATCAGTATCTTCCAGACACCATGAACCATGTTCTCAGCTGTGTGAAGAAGGAGAAGGAGAGAACAGCAGCCTTCCAGGCTTTGGGTTTGCTTTCTGTAGCTGTGAGGTCGGAGTTCCAAGCTTACCTGCCAAAAGTCCTTGAAATCATAAAAGCGGCTCTTCCACCAAAAGACTTTGCCCACAAGTGAGTATGCGAAGGTTGTAAAGTATGTGAAAGGAACTGAAACAGCTGTTGTTTGTGTCACTTTTGTGTTGTTGGGATCAAGTTATCATATTAGCCTAATAACCCAGAACTTGGATGAGGAAAGATGTTTGGAAAATTGCGGCTTCTCTTAGTTAACTAACTTTTTATGCCGACCCTTTCCAGGAGGCAGAAGTCAGTACAGGTTGATGCCACAGTCTTCACCTGCATTAGTATGCTGGCACGAGCCATGGGGCCCAGCATCCAGCAGGACATCAAAGAGCTTCTGGAACCTATGCTGGCTGTGGGCCTAAGGTAAATACAAGGCACATGAGCACGTTTTTATGTTAGCCACTGGATGGCATTGTTAGCCGTGCGAAAAGAGATTGCGCGTCTTGAGGGAAAGCACCAGTAGTTACAAACTGACTTGAGAAGCGAGTTGACTTCTTTTGACGACTTTGGAAAATAGCCCATCAAATGCTTTTCTAGCAAATGTTCAGAAGCCATGTTGTGGTCTGCCTTCCCGTGTTGGGAGAAATGATGCACAGGTTGGCTTGTGCAGAGTAGATTCCAGAGCACTCCACCCATCCCTTCCAGCAGTCAAATACAAAGATGAAAATAACACAGCTGTGTTACGAGACTGATTTTTTATTGAGAAAAGAGCAAGAAGGGCAAATCTTGATGTTCCAAAAAGCTGACACTGCATTTTCTATGCAGTACAGAGCCTCCTGCCTTAGGTTTAGCAGGCTAAATTACTTCAGTGCACCTAAATGCGCTTGAGTTAAGATTGAGAAGGAAGGTTATTTCTTTTAAATGATCTGTATTGCTCTTTCAGAGGGATAATCTGTTTTAAGTGTTTCGTATCCATCAAGTTACTTAAGAGCGTTGGTCTCTGTGTAAAGAAATCTTTTTGAAAAAGACCTAGTGCCCTCAAAATCAATATCCTTTATTTCCCAACATTCAGACGCTTTGTCAACAGCTTGCAAAAATTCAAAAAGCCTCTGAAGGCTGGCAGATTTCTGCTGTATCAGATTAACAGGAAAAGAGAGTTGAAGGGCTGAATGCTTGCTCCTAGCTTCTTTCATCTTAGCATGCGAGTCTGACAATTCCTGTTGGAAACTTCCTAACTCGTATTGCTGTGAGAAAGCATCCAGGTAGCACGAAGCTGCCTAGATTAATGTTGCCCTCTGAAAGTGAATTTAGTTGCCTTTGTGTCTAAAAAGCACAAGTATGAGGAATCATTCAGATCTGTAACCATGTTCTGCTCTACGTGAAGTTTTGGAGACTTGTTAAAAGTGGCCCAGTCAGGCCAGTTCCATTTGGAGTTCCACCATGCAAATCGCTCTTTGTGTTACCTAATTGTAGTCATATGGGCTGGGATCCAAGCAGTTTGCTCACTAAGTTCATAGAAGAAACTCAGCTCATATGCCTGGGTTCCTACAAGGACCACTATGTTCTGCTGGCAGCTGTTGCTCTGCTTTGTGAATGCCCGCAATTATCTCCTGATGGGCAAAGGCATAAATAAAAAGGTGCAAACCTCTTCTTGTTTTTGTCCTATTAACTCTCTGCATGCCTTTTGCCCTCAGCCCTGCTCTAACAGCTGTGCTGTATGACTTGAGTCGTCAGATCCCCCAGCTAAAGAAGGATATCCAGGATGGGCTGCTGAAAATGCTCTCCCTTGTTCTAATGCACAAACCTCTGCGACATCCAGGCATGCCAAAAGGCCTTGCCCACCAGCTGGCCTCCCCTAGCCTCACCAACATCCCTGAGGCCAGTGATGTGGGTAGCATCACCCTTGCCCTGCGCACACTGGGCAGCTTTGAGTTTGAAGGTAAGATGTGAAATAAGGAAGCAGGGGAGTATGAGGTGCCCTGGCCCCTCTCAGAAAGCTTGCACCTATGAACTAACAATATAGCTGTGTATCCATGCAGTAAAGGATGTAGGATGTAACCGCTAGTGCTTCAGAGTATAAATAGCAGAGGTACTCTGAGAGCACCTTCTTTTCAAGTATAAACTCCTGTTTGTAACAATAACTGAAAAGTGAAACCAGGTTCAACTCCCATGTTTTTCTTTGTAGGCCATTCTCTGACTCAGTTTGTTCGGCACTGCGCAGACCACTTTCTGAACAGCGAACACAAGGAGATCCGGATGGAGGCAGCTCGCACTTGCTCTCGCTTGCTCACGCCCTCCATCCACTTGATCAGCGGTCATGCCCATGTGGTCAGTCAGACTGCAGTGCAGGTGGTGGCCGACGTTCTCAGCAAACTGCTTGTGGTTGGAATAACAGACCCAGGTTAGTGTGGGGTCTGGAGAAGAGCATTTTCCTATCCTTTCCTGTTAATTATAGTGCATGAGCAGGTGATGAAATAATGATTGTGGAAGGGTTTGGACATATTTGTCATTAAATTAAGCTGCCATTTTTTAACCAAAAAAAAGTGTGTGTGGGGGGGTGTCTCTGTCTGTCTTCCCACCTCTTGTGTGTTTTTTTTTTTTTTTTTGAGGTATTAACACTGGTGCAAAGTGCTCAAACTGTGCCCTTGGTAATTCTTTGCACTAGGTAGAGCCCTGAGACTTCTTTTTCCGTTGTCCTGTGTCATGGCCTTCCCTTGCATCATTCAGGAGGGGATCGGACCCTTTCGTTGAATCTTCCTCCTTGATTTTTTGATTCTGTCAGTTGTAGTGTGGTCGAATGAGACGATTAAATTTTCTGTGCGTTGGCTCCAGATACTGCCTGTAGGTGCAAGAGATTGACGCTGTGCTGATCTGGGTATTGTGGTAGGATAAGCCAGCCCAACAAATTCAGTACTGCTCAGTACTATTTCTAGTGGGTAAAAGATTGAGGTAGGCCGTCTGATGCTGGGGAAGCTCTCTGCGTTTCCCTGACTTGAAGAATTTTGGAGGCCAACTATAAACAGTGACAATAATCAGAACAGGAGTTTATTACATCTGAAGACAAACAAATGTGTTCTTGCAGACCCTGATATACGTTTCTGCGTGCTGGCTTCTCTGGATGAGCGATTTGATGCTCACCTTGCCCAGGCGGAAAATTTGCAAGCTCTTTTTGTGGCCCTGAATGATCAAGTATTTGAAATCCGAGAGCTGGCCATCTGTACTGTGGGTCGCCTGAGCAGCATGAACCCTGCTTTTGTCATGCCTTTCCTGCGGAAGATGTTAATTCAGGTAATGAAGAGGGGTGCCTGCAGTGGCAATAGAGTACTTGGTAACTGAGATTGAGATGATGGTGTTAAAGGAACTGGACTACCTAGCTGTAGTGAGTATGTGGAGGAATCTCTCCCTTTCTGGAAGATACTTGTCACCCAGCTTAGTGGATTTTAGCAGATCTTTTCTAGTGGTAGATGTTTGGACTGAGGCTCTAGAGATATATTAGAAAAGGGAGGATAGTAGTCACCATCGCTGCCCACGTTCATCGTTCCTCCCACCTGGAGTGCTTTCTGTGTGTATTGAGGAAGAATGTTCTGTGCTGTTTTTAGGCTCAGGGATGGTACCGTTCCATTTTTATATTAACTTTAGCTGCGTTTAGGCATAACTGATGGGCTGGAGTGCAACTGTAGAACACCCTTTACAAGTGTTGAGGTTGCTTTCTCCTTTTATTGGCATTGGACAGGGGAAGAGGAAGAAATCCAAGGTGTTTTTTTGCCTAACTTTGTCTTCTCTGGTCTCGTACTTCTGTTGTCTTTTCTGCAGATTCTAACAGAGCTAGAACACAGCGGTGTTGGCAGGATTAAAGAGCAAAGTGCCAGGATGTTGGGTCACCTGGTTTCTAATGCTCCACGCCTCATTCGTCCATATATGGAGCCTATCCTTAAGGTAGATTTCCTGTGGATTTTGTTAGGGTGAGACAGTATAGCAAGTGGATATATCGCGCTCTAACCTTTATCAGGAGCTGCAGCTCTTTGCTTCATCGTAGGTGTAAAAAATTAGATTGGAGTGGATGTTATCCGCAGTAATGCATGTATATGACAGTGTGACCTAACTTGATTTTGGATTTGCAGAAACTTTAAAGCTTGTGAAACCAGGGTGGTGTTAATTCTTGAAATGCTCACTGTGATGCCAGTTGAGCCTCTGTGAAGTGTCTGGCATAAAAGAAAGGAAAGAGCATTTTGAGTACAGTATGTAGAAGGAGTCTTCTCGACACACATTCTAATTTGTTTCCTCTGTTACCTACCAGGCGCTGATTGTGAAACTGAAGGACCCTGATCCAGATCCAAATCCAGGGGTGATTAACAACGTCCTAGCTACCATAGGGGAGCTGGCGCAGGTGGGGGTCGTTTAGATATCTCTGGCATGCTTCTCAGTTGTCAAGCTTTCAGCGGTGCTAGATGAAGGACTTTGATTTTTGTCTCTTCAATAGGTCAGTGGGCTGGAGATGAGGAAGTGGGTGGATGAGCTCTTCATTATAATTATGGACATGCTGCAGGATTCTTCCCTGCTGGCTAAAAGACAAGTAAGTGTTTGACACCCGCGCTAAACTATGCCAACCTCTGTGATCAAAGCTATAACGAAATGTCCTTGTGTCCCATCACAGCTGCTAAAATGAACCTTTAAAACACTCAGTCTCTCTCCTGTGGCGTGTTCAGTCATGCTAAAGTGTCAGGGCAGGGATTGCAGTGCCTGTCTTTTGTAGCGTTCTGCAGGATACACTCGTTAAAGGAAAAAGAAAGGAAGTGGTTTTTACTGGAAGGCTCTGGCACGGACTCATTATTGGTGCCTCTTCAGATCACATCTCTGAGTGAGAGGAATTACGTCAGTCCCTCTTGAGTCTAACAAATTGTTGATTATTAGTTTCTTTACTGTAGCTTATTTAAAAACAAAAATCTCCGTAGAGGCTTTCAAACTGTGGGCCACAGGCAGCAGCGTGATGTTAAAATGCTCAGAGACTTTAAAGAAGTGGAACAAATCATGGATCAGGAGATGTAGTAACTTCCGTGATCAAAACTAATCTCCTCTGGGCTTGATTGTTCCAGGTGGCTCTTTGGACGCTGGGGCAGCTGGTGGCCAGCACTGGTTATGTGGTGGAACCGTACAGGAAGTACCCAACTTTGCTTGAGGTGCTTCTGAACTTCCTGAAGACTGAGCAAAACCAAGGCACCCGCAGAGAGGTATGAACATGAAGCTGTCTCACAACCATGTCTAAAAGCTTGTGGAAGAGAAAGGGCAGTAAAACAAATGCCTCTGAATATATTTATTTAAAAAAAAAATTGAAAGATAACTGTTGTGGCTGATAGAAGTACGATAAGCAGAATTAAAAGAAAATGCAAGTGTTGAGTCAGTGAAAGGGCCTCCAGCAGTTGAATGGAAAAAAGTTGATATTTTTCTCCATTCAGTCTTCATTTTAGTTCTAGATCTTCTTTCCTTAATCCTGAGCACCTTTCCAAACCCCAGGTTCACGTGTTGACTTTTGCCTCAGCGATGCAGTTCTGATGAATTTTCCTGTTGTTTCTCCCATATCAGGCTATTCGTGTATTAGGGTTGCTGGGAGCTTTGGACCCTTACAAACACAAAGTGAACATTGGCATGATTGACCAGTCCCGGGATGCTTCAGCTGTCAGCCTTTCGGAGTCTAAATCTAGCCAGGATTCTTGTAAGCATATGAATTTTTTTTTTTTTTTTCCCCCAAGTGAATGATTTTGTGATGTATAAACAGGTCTTGATTTCATTACCAGTTTGTTTCCCCTTCTTAACAAGTTATTAATGTGAATATCTTTCACCTAATATTCAAGTGCTCCTGAACTGCGGTGTTGGAGTGCATTTAATACATAATTTGTGACACTGCCTTGTTCTTCCTAGCGGACTACAGTACCAGTGAGATGTTGGTGAACATGGGAAACCTTCCTCTGGATGAGTTCTATCCAGCTGTCTCTATGGTGGCACTGATGAGAATTTTCCGAGACCAATCCTTGTCCCAACACCACACTATGGTAGTCCAGGCCATCACCTTTATTTTCAAATCCCTTGGGCTGAAGTGCGTGCAGTTCCTGCCCCAGGTCATGCCAACGTTCCTTAATGTAATACGGGTTTGTGATGGTGCCATCCGAGAGGTGAGTGTACTAGGGACCATTCCTTCTCCCTTCCCATTCCGCTGCCCTACAATTAGAATCCATGTAAAAGAGAAAATGACTGGCTTTAATCCTGTGCTATGTGTCGCTGCCAACCACGCTGCAAAAGTGAGGTACAGCTCTGCTTTTTCTCTCCTGTGAGCTTTTGGCAGAATACCCAGTGGAAACAGTTTTTCTGCTGCTTATTGGAACAGCTGCTTCTGAGCATACTCCTTAAGTGGCCAGTATCTGGTTCTGTTTCTTGATCGAGCTGGTCTAGTTGAGGAAAACAGCCTGTGCAGCTTCTGGAGCTTTCAGTGATCTCTGCGTTAATGCACTGTTGCGAACAGGGTTATTAAATAATAGGGGTAGAGCCTTTAAACTTCTGATGCAACCGTGCACTTTAGCTCCTCCGTGAGGAGGAAAATTCAATTTGTTACAGTCTGCTAACATTTCAAGCAGTGTGGGTGGTGATTCCACAGCAGCGCTTTCACTTCTTTCCCACTTGAGTTGCAGTTTTAGAAGGAAATGAGAACTGTGTCAGGTTAAGAATGGGCCTAAGGTACATCTGACCAGAGATGGCTTCTGTTTGCCAAGCCTTTTCCTCAGGCTCTGCAAGCCATCTCTAGGGCGGGAAGGGTAGTTTGCACTAGTTTTGTACTGTGTTTTATAGGTGGGATGGGTGCTCCCTTAGCAGGATCCCAACCCTGCTGTAGAACTGCTGTTTTCTCCCAGACTGAACTACTACTCAGATTGGAAGGAAAACACCTCACACGCCTGGGTTGGCTGAACTGCTAGACCTGACTGATCTAACTTGCTTGAAAGCTATGCAGTTGTGCACACTCTGTTTAAAAATTTTCAGGTAAAAGAAGATGGTGAAAGTGTACTGGGGAGAAGAGCTGAGGTGGGTACACGTGACATTAAAGCCTAAAGGAGGCAGGTCCTTGTCCTGTATGTAAGCATCCTCTCACAACATCAAAAAAGGGACAATGCAGGAACTCAGGTTCATTTCTGGTAAATATAGATGTGCTGCTCTCACTAAAGAAGCTGATTTTATTTCTTAGTTTTCACAAAAGCCCATAATCTGTTTCTCCAAGCTCTACTTTGACTGTATTTTTGTCACTATAAATAGTCTTCAAATACTGCATGGAAAAATTAAATTTAATAGGTGGTAACATACATATTCCTATTCTCCTAGACCCCAAAAAAAAAGTTCATTTGTGGACAAGGAGATTTGACCCACATACTGTTTTGTACCAATCTCAAAAGTAAAATGATTGCCGTGAGTGAGTGCATATGACTTGTGTAGGGGCAAAAGGAATTGCAAAACTGTCTCGGTATGTATGAATAAAATTGTCTCAGTCAAAATTCTCCTATGGGACAATTAGCTATCTTTAAAACAAAAAACAAAAAACAAAAACAAAACATAAAAAACCAAAACAAACAGTGATATATCTGGAAAGGACCAAACTCTCTTCCCCAGTAACTTTTCACCAATATATCTTGGTGGGGATGGGAAAGAG